GCTAACCATATATTTTGTTTTATCCACGTTTATTTCAAGTCCTAGTTCTTTCCCGGCTTTCATTAACGTTGTCGTATTCAGTTTTATAGTTTCAACGTCTTCGCTTAACAGTACCAGATCATCAGCATAGCCCAGCACGGATGTTGTCCCGCCCAGATCCAACCCTTTCTCGGTTCGCATTACCTCCCTAATGGCATGTTCTAATGCCAAATTGAACAGGACAGGCGAAAGAGAATCCCCCTGTTTTAAGCCCGAACGAACCTCAAATTTTTCGGACAAATTATTACCGATTCTAACTTTATTGAGTGTCTCCGTCAAGCACATCCTGACTAGATTTACTAGTTTTTTTGGAATCCCCTGCTCGATTAGAATATTATACAATTTCTGGCGGTCAATAGAATCGTAAGCCTTTTTAAAATCTATATACAGCTGGTGAACAATACCGTTATACTCCAATTTTTTCTCTAATATTTGCCGTAAAGAAAATATTTGATCAATAGTCGAACGATTCCGTCTAAATCCGCATTGGTAGTCTCCGATAATTTCCTCGGCGTATTCCGTGATTCGACTGGTTAAGATTAAAGTGAATATTTTATAACATACCGGAAGGAGTGAAATTCCTCGATAGTTATTACAATCCGTCCTCGGACCCTTTTTGTGAATCGGAATAAGAATAGATTCTTTCCATTCTTCAGGTAATTTCTCGTTCACCCAGATCTTTTTAACCAACCGATGTATTTTAGAAACTCCAGCTTCCCCGCATGCCTTAATTAGTTCAGTAGGAATATTATCGATTCCCGCTGCTTTATATGATTTTAATTTTCCGATAGCTACTTCAACTTCCTCTTTACTTGGTCCTTCTATTAACGGTTCAGCACTCTGGTACTCAGAAGGAGGACACAGATCATAATTTCCCGTATTTAAAATATTGTCAAAGTGGTCCTTAAACTTATTCAATATGTCAACCGGATCGGTCAGAATATTGTTATTATCATCCCTAATTCAAGACGTTACGGGCCCTACATATTTACGTGATCTGTTTATACCTTTGTACATGTCTCTTACGTTATTTTCGATTCTATTAGTTTCTATTTCAATTATTTTATTTTTAAGATACTCCCTTTTTTTATTTTTGAGCAATTTTGTCGTTTCATTCTTTGAGATTCGGAAGTATTCCAGATTGTCTTCGCTAGGATTATTTAGAGCTTTTAATTTAGCGGCTTTTCTTTTTTCACACATGTTTAAGCAATCTTCATCAAACCACGGTTTGTTATTCTTATTTTCCTTTTTTCCTAGACACGAGTTACCGACCGCTTTAATATTATCTCTGATCTCTATCCTCGTCATATCCTCGTGGTCCTCGTCAGGAAGCTCTAAAGCTTCAAACCTATTCTTAACATCTAGCTCGAATTGGTTTCTAATTGATGGATTTTTTAATTTTTCCAAATTAAAATTCTCAAAATCGAAACGGTTTTCTTTTCTCTTTTTTATATTAAGTTTTTGTCGAAGTTTCGCGATTACTAATTCATGATCCGACCCACATTCTGCTCCGCGATAAGACCGTACATTAATTATACTACTTTGCCAGCTGTGTTGTATCAAGACATGATCGATTTGATTTCGTGTTTGCGAATCCGGTGATGTCCAAGTATATTTATGAATATCCTTATGTTTAAACGTCGTACTTTTAATTATCAGGTTTTTCGAGATGGCAAAGTTTATCAGACGGATCCCATTATCATTACTATATTCGTGCAAACTTTCTTTACCAATCGTCGGAATATAAACTTCTTCCCTTCCTACCTTTGCGTTCGCGTCACCTACAATTATTTTCATGTAGTTTCGCGGTAGTTTATCATAAACCCATTCGAGTTTATCGTAAAATTCACTTTTGACTTCATCGTCACTGTCTTCGGTCGGACAATGTATGTTTATTAATGCGATTTTAAACCAACGTCCCTGAAATGTAGCTACCGAAATTCTATCACTAAAGAATTGTACGTCCCTCAAAGCGGATAGTAATCTACGCCTAATTAGAAACCCGGTACCTAAACAATGATTCTCGCTTCCTCCGTACCAAATAGTGTACTTCCCTTCCCTCATCGAGCCCTCCCCTGGCCAGCGAACCTCTTGCAGAGCCACGACATCCAAATTGTACCCATTTACCTCATTCGCGACCGATTTTAGCCCCCCTGCTGTGTTTAAACTCCTTACGTTCCACGTACCAATATTTAAATCCCTATATTTCAACTTGCGCCATGAATCCCCTAAAGCAGTCCCCACCCGGAGACCCGAACGGGGGACTAGTTTACTTCCGGATAATGAGCGTTTTACCTTAGGAAGATCCATGACTTTTTGTGGTGTTTGGTGAACTAAAGATATGTGAGTAGGGCGTTCAATCCTACGTCACACCCTCCAGCAAGTCTGGTGGGCCCCTACCTCCAGCAAGTCTGGAGGTCCCCTCCCTCCAGCAAGTCTGGAGGGCCCCTCTCATTGTTGGTCAGCGAGTCCATCGGACTTAGCCGGGAGGAACTTCCAAGAAATTTCCACCGACCATCCCCACATCCGCCACCCGTGGGACGCTCCCCATACGCGGTAATGAGCCCGCGCGAGGGAAGAAGAATATATAAGAAGAATATATAAGAATAATATATAAGAATAATAATAATATATAAGAATATAAGAAGAACAATATATCCTTTCCCATTTCCTTTCCTTTTTTCATCTGCAACCGCTCTCTATTCTCCTTCTTTTCCTATATTCAGCTGTTGATCTTCGAGTGTTTCGCTGGATAATAGTTGAATAGGCCCTACTCTTCTGGTTGATAATTTCCCGACATTCATCATCAAACCAATCTCTTATTTCAGTCCTTTCTACCTGTCCTATCATTTCATTACTTGTGTTTACTATGGCCTACCTGATTACTGTCCTTCTCTGATTGAGGTCACAGTGCTGATCTATTCGTATTGTGTTAGCATCCATTAGTATTGAAAATGTCAGGATACGTGTTATTGTGTCAGGATCTTTTAGTTTGACCACATTATATTTAGTCAGGCGATCACCATAAGGACTTCTTCCACGTGATATTCTCGTTCTTAAGCGGGCCACAGTTAGGTAATGATCTGAATCTATACTCGCTCCTTTGTATACCTAACAGGTCTAAGCTAATATGGTCAATTTGGTTTGTTGCTGCTATACTGCTAAATGTATCGTTTTGTTGGGGAACATAGTACTTCCAATAGCGAGTCCCTTGGACACCAAACAATTTATTAACCTTGGACCGTTATCGTTTGAGGGGTTGTGTATATTGTGTATTCCAACAGTCAGTCTGTACGTTTGCTCCTTACCAAACTGTGTATCGAAGTCCCCTAACAAGACTTTTATGTCTGTTCCAGTGTAGTCATCACCACATCTTTGTAGGGTAATATAGAAGGCACCTTTATCTTCATCTTCCGAGGGCTTATTGCATGATGAACTGATCGTTCAATTTGGCTCTAAGTTGGATAAAATGTAGAAATTGGTAAAAACATTATCCATTGGTTGTAGTGTCAATTTCATTGAATTCTGTCCACTAATTTCTCTTACATAGGCGTAACGTGTTTTCCTTAATATATCTATATCTCTAAAACCGCAGTTCGATTTACTTCAAATTTGGAGGGAATGTTAGAGATTGGTAAACAGATTATCAGGTATATATGAATTTTATCACATTCTATCCTTAACTGAAAATAAAATACTTCTGCTTTCAGTTCAGGAAATGTATTATTTGACACGACTGTAGTTTGAAAGTATAGTTTATTTGGAGAGAGATTTTAGCTACAGGTAGTTTTAGATATTTTTATCACTATTTTGAAAATTTATGTTTGTGAATGTTTTTTTTTTATATGATGAAAAATTATAATGCTAAAACTTATGGTACCAGCAGATTCTGTATTGAAATCTCCTGGACGATAAATATTGATTGTACAGATGAAAACTAAACAGGTGCATACTGGTTTTAAGCCCAAAATGTCTTCCCAACTTAAAATATTTCAAATGTCTGAAACTGATCGTTAGAATTGGCTAAAATTTGTTGTTTTTTTTACTTACATGTATATCTACTTAATACTTACGAATTTTCATAAAGATCTGAGTGAGGAGTGGGTTACAGATTGAACTGGATGATTTGGCATAGAAAGACCCAGTGTTACGTTCTATGTTGTTCATAATGAATAATGTAATTTATACGTGTTTCATTTTGTTGGATCTTTAACGCCTCTTTACTCTTACTTTTGAATTCCGCCATTATTCTTCTCGCAGCATTTGAGGCTGTTCTAGGCGGATGGAATAAGGTGTAATCGTTTGGTTCTCTTCTTATGTAGATGATATCCAGGGAGCACGTGGTTTATAATAACCGGACGCGATCACAATCACTCCCTCTTCAGAAGATGGTTAGCAACCTTTTGCATACGTCTCTATCCTGTTGTTTTTAACGGGATAGGGTTATTAGCCCTGTACCCAACTCCCACAAAATCTGGAGGACCAAAGCAGCTGTTATTAGACACAGGGGGTCGTTCTCGCCTTCCTGTGAATCTCAGGGTGGGAACGTCCCCACCGTTTGCCCCTCCATGCGGGAACCGAACCCGCGCCTTAGTGATCTAAGCAATCGAGTAGGGACTACACTTATTTATTTATTATTAATTATTTATATATATATTTTTTTGTTATTTAATTCTGCGAACGGGATTTAAACTCGAAGCATAAAATTTTTGCTGGTGCCTTAACTCACTCGACCACCGCGGTCCCATTTTGTTCGATCTAATATTTTATAATCTTCTCATTTAAATACAACATTGTATTTAATTGCAGTCATTCGTTTCAGCTTACCTGGCCAACAATCATTGTTAATATGTTATTAGTAAATATTTATGATAAAATATGAAGATATTTTCTCAAAGTGGGCATTTAAACAACTTTTAAATTTTTTGCTACTAACACTGTTTATAAAAATTTATTTTCAGGCCTACGTTACATTTCATAGCTACGGTCAATATATCTTAATACCCTTTGGCTATGACCTCAACTCTCTCGCACCAGACTATGATGAAATGGAAAGGGTCGGTACAATAGCTGCATCAGCGATAAAAAAATTAGATGGAAAAACTTACCAGGTTGGAAATACGGCAATGTTATTATATCCAGCAGCAGGTAATGTTGTGAAAAATATAACAGTTAGCATAAAAATTAATATTTCATACCTATGCTATATTTTTAACTAAGAAAAAATATTTATTATTTTTGCATTATTTCTGCTTACGTTTTTATTTTATTTTATTGTTTTTATTTTATTTTATTGTTTTTATTTTATTTTATTGTTTTTATTTTATTTTATTTTCTTTTTTTTATTTTATTGTTTTTATTTTATTTTATTGTTTTTATTTTATTTTATTGTTTTTATTTTATTTTATTGTTTTTATATTATTTTATTGTTTTTATTTTATTTTATTGTTTTTATTTTATTTTATTGTTTTTATTTTATTTTATTGTTTTTATTTTATTTTATTGTTTTTATTTTATTTTATTGTTTTTATTTTATTTTATTGTTTTTATTTTATCTTATTGTTTTTATTTTATCTTATTGTTTTTATTTTATTTTATTGTTTTTATTTTATTTTATTGTTTTTATTTTATTTTATTGTTTTTATTTTATTTTATTGTTTTTATTTTATTTTATTGTTTTTATTTTATTTTATTGTTTTTATTTTATTTTATTGTCTTTTTTTTGTTTTATTGTCTTTTTTTTGTTTTATTGTTTTTATTTTATTTTATTGTTTTTATTTTATTTTATTGTTTTTATTTTATTTTATTGTTTTTATTTTATTTTATTGTTTTTATTTTATTTTATTGTTTTTATTTTATTTTATTGTTTTTATTTTATTTTATTGTTTTTATTTTATTTTATTGTTTTTATTTTATTTTATTGTTTTTATTTTATTTTATTGTTTTTATTTTATTTTATTGTTTTTATTTTATTTTATTGTTTTTATTTTATTTTACTGTTTTTATTTTATTTTATTGTTTTTATTTTATTTTATTGTTTTTATTTTATTTTATTGTTTTTATTTTATTTTATTGTTTTTATTTTATTTTACTGTTTTTATTTTATTTTATTGTTTTTATTTTATTTTATTGTTTTTATTTTATTTTATTGTTTTTATTTTATTTTATTGTTTTTATTTTATTTTATTGTTTTTATTTTATTTTATTTGTTTATTTTATTTTTATTTAACTTCTTCACCAGTATTATTTATTTACTTATTATATTTATATTTATTTCTTTATTATTTGTATATATTGTATGAATGAGAACTTGTAGCCCTAATGCTTATAGCCCTCCAGCAGTGGCTGATTGTATTATTATTCAATAAACAGATTAAATAAAAAAATTTCTGCTTACACTATTTCCATTGCAGGTGGATCGGACGACTGGGTCAAAACCGCCACTAAAGCGAAATACGTCTACACAATTGAGTTGAGGGATGAGGGTGAACACGGTTTTATTCTACCAGAAGAATATATCCTCCCGACTGTGAGAGAAGCATTTACAGCCATCAAGGTTATAGCAACTGCAGCTTATAGAAACGAATAAAAATGATAATACGCTTCCATCATAGATTTTAATTAATGTAATAAAGTCGTTGCTACTTACGTTTCGCATTTTATCATCCCAATTCCATCCTAAGATGTTATCTGTTAAATCCAGAAAATGGGTGATTTGAATAAAAGCAGGAGATCGACTCATGTTAATATTTCTCTACGGAAAGCAGCATGTCAGCCTGAGGAATCTGAGAGATAATGGCAAGTGGGATTACTATGAGGAGATATTATTGCTGTATTGTCAGCGAAGGTGAAGATGCTGGCCCAAGGGCGTTTAGGGATATCAGAGGTTTTTAAGAAACACAGGATTGGGCCTAAAACACTTGTGCCTTGTAGTATGTCATTGTGTTGGAAGAGTAAAGAGAAAACAGAAGAAGCTACGGAAATACAAAAGAACTTTCAAGAAAGAAAGATTATAGAATTAGAAAATATGTCAAGGATGACCGCACAGCAATATTCCCTTTTCTCAAAATCTACAGAGGTAGCATACACGTGGAACGAACGAAAGCCAAATTGATGATTTGGTCACTTTACTGCTTAAGGAAAAGTTAGGACAATATATATCTTCAGAGGTAACTTTGTTAATTTTACTATTTTGAAATTCAGAAAGTATTGTTGCCCAAATGCGATTCTTGGTCTTGCGCACTCAGTCTTAGTCTTGGTCTTGCACAAGTCTCGCAACAGTCTTGCAGTTACGCATTAACTTATTGCTATAGAGATATTAATGAAAAATATCTCATTCATAGCCCGAATGAAAAATTAGAAGATTTATATGTGAAAGTATATTGGTTTTACCAATTCTTTACATATAGTAACTAAAACTGCCAAGTATTAGTAAATATTGCCTTAATTTTTGTTAAAAAAATGGATTTTTTTTTACCAGCCGTGGTCTTGGTCATGCAACATTCAGGTGGTCTTGGTCTTGGTCTTGTAAAGTGCAAGATCAACACCTATTTTGGGCAATACTAGCAGAAAAACGTGTGGTTGTGCAAAAGAGAGGTTTTCGTTTAAATGCCCCGCGTTACGGCGAGTAGTGGGGAAGACATAAGCTTTGAGAGAGACTCGAAGCCTCGAGGCCGCTACTTGACCAGCATTGAACCAGGAAGAACCGATGGCGGAAGGCCCTCCAAAAGATGTAGCCTGGCACATAGACTTTGCACTATCATTAACCTACCAATCCCTTAAGATACAATCCACTGCTTAAAAACTAGAATGCTACCATAAAATTTAGAATGTTGCATTATTGAGACTCATGATAGTTGTTTTGCCATAATTGTAAAAGTTGCCCAAACAACATGTAATATTATTATATCATTGTTATGTTAACAAATTGTGATATTTAGGAAGTTTGGACATTGGAGATATAGTCCCGAAACGTGTACTGATAAATATCTACACAGTAATATTGGAACATAATTTTTTCTATCTTCAAACTGAAATTATACTATATTTCCCAGAATGCTTAAATTTAATATCGATAACTACTTGAATTAATCCATAGATCGATGAACATTTGAGATGATGATTTCAGCGGGTTTACGCAGTTTCTTATTAAGGAGAAGCAAGATGTAAAAATTGTTTTCTTTTATTTATTATTACAATAATTTATAAATATTTTTAAATGAAATAAAAAAATTACACTGAATAATAATAACATTTAAAAATTGATTTACTCGAAATTTCGCAAACCTTTTATATTATATTATATTATGTTTTATTTTATTTTATTTATTTATTTATTTATTTTATTTGCTATTAATTTATCCTCCAAATTGGAAGCATTAGCCGTTGTCGTTCATCTTCCAGTTCAGTTTACGATATGTTCTATTTATCTACATCCCTCAGAAAATATCACATATAATGATTTTCGAGATCTTTTACTCGAACTTCCTCTTCCATTCCTTTTAATGGGGATCTCACAGTCCGACTTGGGGCATCAATCATCGAACTGATGCAAGGGGTAAAATAATAGACTCTCTTATAGATGAATTTTCGCTCATACTCTGCAGCCCCTGTGAGCAGTCTTTCTGTAGCCGAGCCCACCAAACCTGGACTTCTATTGACCTCTGCTTAGCCTCTCGCTCATTTCCTATAATTCCCCAGTCTTACTTCCATTGTGATCTTGCAGGTAGTGATCACCTACCTCTTTTGCTTTCACTGCAAATTGACCCGTTTCTTCCACAGTCTATCGGGAAATGGAGGATAGACAAAGCCAATTGGGAGAATTTTACAAAAGCTTGTAGCGATAACTTTAGACATTTTGAAATTTCCTCATCCCACGGAGAAAATCTTGAAAGGTTTGCCTCAGTAATTGTTCAAATTGCTACCCTCTCGGTCCCTAAAACCAAACCATCTAAATATTTAAGAACGGTTCCTTGGTGGACACCCGAATGTCGTGCTGCTTTGACGAAACGGCATAGAGCTTTAAAAATTTTAAAAACACGTCCATCATTAAGTAATCATATCAATTACCATAAAGCCAGAGCAGAAGCGCGGTGGATTATCAACCAGGCAAAAAGAAATTGCTGGACAAAATTTATATCTTCCATCTCATCCGGAATTTCAACGAAAATAGTATGGAATAAAATAAAAGCCATAAAAGGCAGACAAATTAACAATATTCCGCGATCGATAGCTTACAATGGAAAAATTCTTACCGAGCCTAAGGAAATAGCTAATGCCTTTGGGCAGCACTTATCTAGTATTTCAAAAAATCCTTCGGCACTTCATGAACTTCAGTTCCCTCCTTATCTTACCCTTGATAATGAACCCTACAATTTACCCTTTACATTAGATGAACTAAACCAAAGTATTAGTTCATCTCGTTCCAAATCACCAGGTCCAGATCAGATTCACATTGAATTTATAAAGCGCTTACCAACAAGAGTAACTGACCTGTTGTTGACGCTCCTCAACAATATGTGGATAAATAGAGACTTTCCTAAAAGTTGGTCATCGGCAACAGTAATCCCTATACTGAAGTCCAATAAAGATCCAAAACTCGTACAAAATTATAGGCCCATCTCTCTTACGTCAGTTCTCTGCAAAGTGACCGAAAAAATAATTAACCGCCGCCTTTTATGGGAATTAGAGACAAGGCATCTACTAGACAGCGAACAATGCGGATTCCGTTATACTAAATCAACAATGCACAATCTTTTTTAAATTTAATTCCTGTATAAAATCTTCGTTTACTAGAAATCAGCATGTTTTCGCAGTTTTCTTAGACCTGGAAAGTGCATTTGACTCATGCTGGAGAAACAAAATTCTAAAATCCCTTCAGGATTGGGGATTCTCGGGCAATATTCTGTTTTTTATACAAAACTTTCTCAATAATCGGAATTTCAACGTTCGGGCTGGCTCGACTTTTTCAAACAAATTCGAACTACACAACGGTGTTCCGCAAGGATCTGTTCTAAGCCCAATCCTATTCAACATTGCCATTAACGATATCAAATCGCTCATACCTAAACCTGTGACTGTGGCACTATACGCTGACGACGTCCTGATTTATTACAGCTCTACCGATGTAAACTTTGGGCAATATGTTATACAAGAGTCCCTCAACAGCCTTGAAACATGGGCCGCTAGTTGTGGCTTCAGGTTTAGTCTTTCTAAATCCACTGCTATCCACTTTTGTCGAATTCGTAGATGTACCCAACCACTTACAGCACATATTGGAAATCGACCTTTGAACAAACGCGATTCAATTCGACATCTAGGAGTAATGTTGGACTCAAGACTGACGTGGAAACTACAAATCGAAACACTACTGTCCAAATTGTCAAAGAAGTGCAATTTAATAAAATCACTTTCCGGTACTACTTACGGCTGCGATAGAACTTCCTTGTTGAGGTTATACAGATGTCTAATAAGGCCGATTATTGACTACGGATGCGAAGTATACGGGGATGCCTCAAAGAAAATATTAAACAAGCTAGATCCAGTACACCATTCAATGATCCGTCGAGCAACCGGAGCCTTCAGGACTAGCCCTATTAACAGTCTACTTTGGGAGGCTGATGAATGGCCGCTAGAACTACGCAGACACTTTCTTTTGTTAAAGTTTTTAGGACGCTTAAAAGTAACTACAGACTTCTTTGACTTCTCGACGTATAAATTACCAACTCGCCTTGCCAACTACCCGCCACTAATCAATACGTACACACTTCCAAAGCTGTTCAAATCAAACGTAAACCCTTTACCTCCTTGGACAAATAGTAGAACACTTTTCGATTTTTCATTAAAAAACAAAAAAAAGTTAAATAGCCCACCAGTAGCACTAAAACAACTCTTCTTAGCTCATATAAATAACTACGAAAAGTACACATGCATTTATACCGATGGGTCGAAAAAATCAGAACATGTTGGATGTTCCGTTGTTCTACCTACGGAGACCATCCGCTACTCTCTACCCTCCATTTATTCAGTCCTATCCTCCGAACTCTTTGCCATATATTTAGCGTTAGATATAATAATCAACGAAATTAACAATGACCACATTTTAATTATTAGTGATTCCTACTCAGCCCTAAAACTAATAGAAAACTTTCAATCATGCGACAACCCCATTGTCTTCCAAATTATACAAATTATTCAAATTACAAAAAAAACAATAACATTTTTGTGGGTCCCCAGTCACATAGGAATACCAGGCAATGAACTGGCTGATAGCGCCGCAAAAGAAGCATCCACCATACTTCCAGCACCAGACAATAAAATAGCGCTATACGATTACAATAACGCAATTTTGAACCAGTGTAGAGAGGCCTGGCGATATTGTTGGGCAAAGGTTCCTATCACAAACAAAATGAAAAGAATGTTTCATGACATGAATCCACTTCCAGAGATTCAAGGAAACCGACGGGAGCAGACTATCATCACACGCCTCAGAATAGGGCACACCAGGCTCACGCATGGTCATCTACTCGACGGAAGTTCGCCACCAAGATGTCCCAGCTGCGATACAGCTTTAACAATGTTTCACATCTTGGAAAATTGTCCGAGCTTAGATTCATCAAGGACCTCATATCTGCTGTTAGGATATCGAC